TGCAGGGTGAGACATTCCCAGAGCTGCAGCCAATGTCCCTGCAGGGTGAGACATTCCCAGAGCTGCATTCTCCGTCCCTGCAGGGTGAGACATTCCCAGAGCTGCAGCCTCTGTGAAAAATGCCAATCACCTGTTTTCAAAATTTTAAAACTTTAATAGTAATCAAATGGTTATAAAATATAAAATATATATAAATAATATATATTTTATATATTATAATAAAAATTTTATATATTATAATAAAAATATATATAAAATAGTAATACAATTGGAGTAACAATAATTTGGACAATTTGAATTAGGACAATATGAGACAATAAAGACAAAGAGTTACGGACATCTGGGTAGCTTTTCTGGGCAGCACAAGCCTGAAAAAGGACCCCTGTTAACAGAGGATTAACCCTTAAAAACAATAGCCTGTTGCATATTCATACACTTCATACATGATGCCTAAATTCCATTCAAATACAGGATTCTCTCTGATCAGTGTCAACTTCTTCCTCTTAATCTTAACAGCACCTTTGAGGGAGGAAGAAGTTCGTTTCTCCTGATAATGGAGCAATAAATTCTTTTTCTCTGAAAGATTCAGGTGTCCTGGGGCTGCTGTCTGGTGAGAGTGCCTCATTCCTTTCTTTAAAAACATATCCCACATACATAGTTCTTATTTTAACTACATAAGTTATCTTTTAACTACAAGACTGAATTTACCATACTATTAAAATGTTAATACAAAAATTGATTAGCACTGCTAATCAATACAAAATGCATGTGGTAAATATCTGCGTGCAGCCATACAATATGCACTTTCCACACTCCCTGCAGGCTGAGGCCTGCGCAGAGCCCTGGGTGGGCAGAAATGAGAAATGAGAGAAATGAGAGCAGTGTGGTTCAGAGAAGGCTCCATCCTGCAGCAGCGCCTTGCCCTGGGTAAATGGTTTCTAGAGAGTGCAGTTCAAATTGAGTGCTTAGCATAAATCAATATAATTAACTCCCGCAGTCCATCTGGGGTGCTTAAGCCAGGCAGGTAAATGAGGGTGATTGGTGATTTGGGGCAGGTGCCACTCACTGCTTCCATTCTCCCACACGGATTTTTTGGACGTGCAGCAAAAAGGGACCCCAGACCCCTCCCAGGGCCCCTTCCCTGGGTGCTCTGGGCTTGGCAGAGCCCTGGGGGCCACAGCAGGCCCGGCTGTGCCACAGCTCACGGGGTCCCCAGCAGCTGGAGCCTGGCTTGCAGGCCTTGGCAGAGCTCCCCAGCAGCAGCAGCAGCAGCACAGAAAACAGGGAGAAGAGTCCCTGGCTGAGCAGCTGCAGCTCCCTCCAGTGTCTCTACCACCGAAAGCAGCAGCAGAGGAAGCAGGAGTAAATGGGGAAAAAGGAGGGAAAAGGAGAAAAAAGGAGAAGAGATCGATCTGTCCTTGCAGATCTCCGTGGGGTTCACCAGTGGGGCTGTGCCTGTGGCCAAGAGCCAGAGATGGCACAGGGGCTTTTCCCGAGGGATCAGGGCTTACTGCCAGGGCTTGGGTGCTCCCTGGGGCTTGGCTGCAGGCCTGGAGAAGGCTCTCTTCTCCAAGATGTGGTGCGGAGCTCCTCGTGGTGCAGAGCTCCTCGTTCTCTCCCAGGGTAACCACAGCCTGCTGCGTTTATTCTGCCACTGGTTTGTGTTCTCCTTTTCAGGAGTTAATACCTTCAGGAAAAGATCCCTGGGAATTCCATAAATAGAGGATAATGGAAGAGGATGGGGTTTCTTGGGAGCCATAATTCAAGGCTTCCAGCACTGCATTAGCAGCTCCTTTGTGTGGCTAAACACGGTGTCTTTTGGCTGCCAGGTACCTTCGGTGAGCAGCGGCTGGGGCTGCACTGAGGGAAAAGCCACAGAGGCTTTGTGACTTTTATCACCCTGTAATTTGGATCGCAGCTGGGGAATTAGCCTGGCTAACAAGGTGCTCATTTCCTGCTAGATATCCTTAGTTTCCCCTGGAGTCACGCTGTGAATCTCTGAGTGACCTAAAATTAGTTCTCGTGTAGGAAAGTGGATTAATCTGCCCAGGACTGACGTGGGAAGGGCTCCCTCCCTTTGTCTCCTCTGCTTTCCCTGCTGCTCTGCCTCATTGACTGAGCGGCTGTGTGTGGTGGTGGTGACCAGCTGGGCTCTGTCAGCGTGGCCTTGGGGCTGCTGGGGTCCCTGCAGTGCCACCGAGCTGTGCCATGTGGCCCGGCAGTGGCCGTGGCCACCACGCTGCACTGGATGGGAGCAGAGTTTGCCAGCATCACTGACTGTGCCCAGGGGCTGTGCTGGGGTCAGCGCTGTGTGTGCTGCTCTCCTTGGGCCCCCAGGGCTCCCCGGATGGGGGAAAACCTCCTTTCAACACTTCTGTGCCAGGACTGAGAGACGCTTTTCGGTCTTCACGTTGCTGTTCTGTTATCAGAAGTCCGACACGCCGTCTGCACCAGACTTAGCGTGCAAGAAAGTACAGCAAAAATGGTCACAAGAGGTGCAGCTTCAAGGTCTTCTAAAGCTGTTTTGTCCAATTAACTCTTAAAATGTACTTTATTTCTACCTTTCTACCATTATTAATTCTTTGTCTGTCCATGTAACCTCTGCACTGAGGCTTCCCTCACCCAATCACCCTGTGCCACCAACACTGCAGAAAATGGAAAAGGAGAAGGAGGAGAAAGAAGGAGAAGGAGAAGGAGAAGGAGAAGGAGAAGGAGAAGGTGGAGCCCAGACAACACCCAAGATCCTCCATCTTGCCTCCTATCTGCCTCTATACTAAGACCCCAAAATCTTAAATTTCTCACCCTGTGACAAGCTACACTATTCTCCCTTGTCTGTTTCACACACTTGTGGACTCCAATCCATCCCAAAGCCTTGGAAGCCTTCTCCAAAAGCAGTGCTTCCCTGGGGCTCAGGACCCCTCAGAGCAGGCGGAGAAACACTCCCAGGGCCCTGGGTTCCAGCAAGTTCCACGGGTGTGAGTCTGGAAAACTCGTGCTGATCCTCAGGAGCTCTGGGCTGTGGAGGGGAGCCCCTGCAAACGCCAGGGACCTCCACAGGAACAGGGCTGCCACAGGGCAAGCGGTCCCTTGTCCTGTGAGGGGCCTCCCCTGCTCCCTGCTGGCTGATCAGCAGTGCTGCCCATCCATGGGGCTGACCCTGGCATGGCTGATCAGCAGTGCTGCCCATCCATGGGGCTGGCTCTGCTCTGGCTGATCAGCAGTGCTGCCCATCCATGGGGCTGACCCTGCTCTGGCTGATCAGCAGTGCTGCCCATCCATGGGGCTGGCTCTGCTCTGGCTGATCAGCAGTGCTGCCCATCCATGGGGCTGGCTCTGCTCTGGCTGATCAGCAGTGCTGCCCATCCATGGGGCTGGCTCTGCCCTGGCTGATCAGCAGTGCTGCCCATCCATGGGGCTGGCTATGGCTGATCAGCAGTGCTGCCCATCCATGGGGCTGGCTCTGCCCTGGCTGATCAGCAGTGCTGCCCATCCATGGGGCTGACCCTGGCATGGCAGATCAGCAGTGCTGCCCATCCATGGGGCTGACCCTGGCTGATCAGCAGTGCTGCCCATCCATGGGGCTGGCTCTGCCCTGGCTGATCAGCAGTGCTGCCCATCCATGGGGCTGGCTCTGCTCTGGCTGATCAGCAGTGCTGCCCATCCATGGGGCTGACCCTGGCATGGCTGATCAGCAGTGCTGCCCATCCATGGGGCTGGCTCTGGCATGGCTGATCAGCAGTGCTGCCCATCCATGGGGCTGGCTCTGCTCTGGCTGATCAGCAGTGCTGCCCATCCATGGGGCTGGCATAGCTGATCAGCAGTGCTGCCCATCCATGGGGCTGGCTCTGCTCTGGCTGATCAGCAGTGCTGCCCATCCATGGGGCTGGCTCTGCTCTGGCTGATCAGCAGTGCTGCCTATCCATGGGCTGACTCTGGCTGATCAGCAGTGCTGCCCATCCATGGGGCTGGCTCTGCCCTGGCTGATCAGCACTGCTGCCCATCCATGGGGCTGATCCTGGCATGGCTGATCAGCAGTGCTGCCCATCCATGGGGCTGGCTCTGCTCTGGCTGATCAGCAGTGCTGCCCATCCATGGGGCTGGCTCTGCCCTGGCTGATCAGCAGTGCTGCCCATCCATGGGGCTGGCTCTGGCATGGCTGATCAGCAGTGCTGCCCATCCATGGGGCTGGCATGGCTGATCAGCAGTGCTGCCCATCCATGGGGCTGGCTCTGGCTGATCAGCAGTGCTGCCCATCCATGGGGCTGGCTCTGGCATGGCTGATCAGCAGTGCTGCCCATCCATGGGGCTGGCTCTGGCTGATCAGCAGTGCTGCCCATCCATGGGCTGACTCCCCTTGTCATGGATGGGCCATTGAAGCAGCCTGAAATCCATGGCTGGGCCAGCAGGGGCTTGGTAGCCCGAAAATCCCCGCTGTTTTGGCTGCCCATGGCTGGTCCATGCTGGTCCTGCCTCTGAGGACAGGGCATTTCTAACCATTCCTAACCATTCCCATTTCCTGACTATTCCTAGCAGGCAGAAATCCAGCGGTGTGGCTCCACATTCCCACCAGGCTCCTCTGCCCGCGCGGGAGGCTGGGAATGCCCACGGATGTCACCTCTTGGTGGCATCCAGGAGAGTCTGGAGAGTGGGAATGGTGCTCACTGATGAGTTGCTCTGTTTGGCTCTGCTGCTGCTGCTGCTCTCCTCCCAGTGACGGGCAGCCAGCCCTGAGCAGGGCTCGGGGTTTTAGGGATAAATATGTCCTGAAGGAAAAGGACTGAAAACACGAAATGGCACAGGGCAGCCGTGGGGATTGCCACCACCACAGCCATGACTTGGTGCCCAGCAGCTGCTGGTCAAAAACCCTTTCCTCTTGGGGCTGGAGGCCTGCACTCCTTTAAAGGTGGAGTGTGGGGACCCCTGGAGCTGGCAGTGCCCCACGCCCGCCCCAGTTTAACTTCTGTGTCTGGTCTCAGTGCTCTCTTCTTCTCCCTGCTCAGGGGGCCACGAGCTGGAGCAGATGCAGCTGATCCTGGAGACCATCCCCGTTATCCACCAGGAGGACAAGGAGGAGCTGCTGAAGGTGATGCCCATGTTCATCAACAGCACGTGGGAGGTGCGGAAGCCGCTGCGCAAGCTGCTGCCCGAGGTGGACAGCGAAGGTACCGTGGTGGCCCCCGGGGCTTCCCCGGCTGCCGTGTGTCCCAAAACTGCCGTGGTGGGCCTTAGTCCCGGCTAGATGATGCAGGGATGTGACAGACCCCCCTTTGTGAGCTCTGCAGAATCCCAGCTGCCAGCCGAGGTTCACAGAAACAAAAGGCTGCAGCACAGGCCTGGGGTGGAACTGGGGTAGCTTTATTTGGTGGGAAAATTCCCCAGTTCCAGGGTCCCAGGCCCCGAACTGAGGGAAAACAGCAGTTTATAAACTGGGGGAGGTCTCAGGGGAGGATACAATCTCTAGGTAATCGGGAGAGCTGGAGGTGGAACACAAGGCAGGGATTACAATGTGTAAACCAATGGAGGATTTCAAGGGAGGGGAACAGCTTGGGACAGGAGGGGTTAACAGCTGGATATAGGAGGGGGTTTGGAATTTGGCAGGGAGTAACTAGGTAACAAACCGAGAAACCACGCTTAACTGAACTGAATAACAAAAAAACTGTGCCACTCTAAAGACGGGGAGAGAAAAATACAGAGGGATTACGAAACCACAAATGAAACAGTAAAAATGCCAAATGAAAGAACACACTACAGCAGCCGTGTCCCCAGAGCTGCTTCCTGGGAGTGCCACAGGAGCTGTCCTGCAAGCCAAGGGCCTGAGCTCTGGGGAAGGGGATGCACATCCCCGAAGGTCCTGGCTGTAGCCCAGATGTCCCCAGTGCTGTCCCCTCACAGGTGGCCTGTCCCCGGGCCCTGCCCCAGGACAGGGCTGTGATGCTGTGGCTTGCTCACAGGTGGCTCCCAAGGGCGAACACGGGGCCTCTGGAGGTGCATCCCTGGCTCCCGTGCGTCCCCCCGAGCTGGGAGCCAGGGCTCAGCCCAGAGGCTCTTTCCAAGTCTGCAGGACAGGCTTTTCCTCACAAAAGCCCCTATCCTGGGGTGTTACAGGCAGGAACTGACCAGCGCTCCCCTGAGCTCGTTCCGAGGGTTAAACCAGGGTTAAACCAGGCCTGCTTTTGGGAAGAGACCAGGAGCAGGCTCAGCTCACCTTCTGGAGTGCCTCCTCATGTGAGAGGTGCCGTGCCTGGCTCAGCCCAGAGGCTCTTTCCCAGCCCCATCTGTTGTGCTGCTGGCCTGAGCACGCTGTGCAGCCCTGCAGGACAGGCTTTTCCTCACAAACACCCCGCTCCTGAGATGGGTGTTACAGGCAGGAACTGACCAGCGCTCCCCTGAGCTCCTTCCGAGGGTTAAACCAGGGTTAAACCAGGCCTGCATTTGGGAAGAGACCAGGAGCAGGCTCAGCTCATGTTTGCTGGAGTGGCTCCTCATGTGAGAGGTGCCGTGCCTGGTCTTGGTGGCACAATCTCCCTGTGCCCGCGGTACCCAGGGCTGTGTCAGCCTCAGCGAGCAGCAGCAGATTTATTCCCTGCTGTGGCTGCAGGAGGAAAGGTCACCCCTGCCCCTCGCATTATTCACTGTAATTTCCCTGCCTCTCTGACCCGTGGTGCATCACAATATATAACCTATAATGGGTTTTTGTGACCTTACGGAGCAATTGACTCCTTCCTGCTTAATTAGTCTGAGCCATGAGGTGATCTCACGGGAGACAGTCAGAAATTGGTTAATGTTTGAGCTCTGGGGCTGCGCGTGTGGCTGTCCTTCGCGCTGAGGGGTTCTGCCCCTACAGAAACTGCCCCATTCACACAATTGCACCTTCAGGGGGCGTGTTCATGGAGGTTTCAGTACGAAGCCGTATCTGAAGAAAGGCATTATTCCTATTTTTGTTGCCTGAACTCAAAGGGACTTTCCCATTAAAGGATCAACTGGATAAGCAACAACTTCAGTGGCAGGATTTTACCTTTTCACATAACCTCAGTAAATGGAATCATCAAAGCAATCATAGCCAGCCCTCTACATTTAGGTTTAATTGCACTTAAAATTCATCACAGAAAGAGTTCACGCAGCACAGTCTTCCTAAAATTATTTTAGCTGCTCAGAATTCTTCAAACACTAATGGGTAAAATAATTTCATGGCATCAGTCACACCAAAGGCTTTTAAAACTTGCAGTAAATCTAATCCACTCCAGTGGGGCCTAAGAGGTGAAATCAGTTTTCTGAAACAGAGTGTGCTTGTCAAATGGATCTGAGGCTGTGGAGTCAGATCCCAGCACCTTCCAGAGGCCTTTTTGGTCTGGGATGTCAGCTCTGTGCTGGGGGTGGATGCCAGCTCTGGGCTGGGATCTGAGCTCTGTGCTGGGCTGGGATCTCAGCTCTGTGCTGGGATGTGAGCTCTGTGCTGGGATCTGAGCTCTGTGCTGGGATGTGAGCTCTGTGCTGGGCTGGGATCTGAGCTCTGGGCTGGGATCTCAGCTCCGTGCTGGGATGTGAGCTCTGTGCTGGGATCTGAGCTCTGTGCTGGGCTGGGATCTCAGCTCTGTGCTGGGATCTCAGCTCTGTGCTGGGATCTCACAGATCTCAGCTCTGTGCTGGGCTGGGATGCCAGCTCTGTGCTGAGGTGTGGGGCTGTCGCTCTGGTTGTGTGTGACCCCTGTGCTGCCCTGTGCAGCTGTGAGGGGGCTCTCGCAGTCGTTCCCTGGCCATGCTGCAGGAGGTGACAGGAGGTGACACCTGGGGGCTGCAGGGTTGCTCCCCTGCAAGCTCACAGCTCCGTGAGGGGCAGGGGACCCCGGCAAGGACAGAAGTGCCTGGTTTGGGTCTACCTGGGGTGGCCTTTAACTCACCCCTTGCTGCAGGGGGATTTGCCAGGGGGGCTCCGCGAGGCTCCTCCTGCCAGGGGAGCTGTCTCTGCTTTTGAGGAATGGTGAGCTTGTGTGCCTCTGCCTCGCAGCCATTGATTTCCTGGAGAAAATTCTGACCTTTAACCCCATGGACCGGCTGACGGCCGAGATGGGCCTGCAGCACCCCTACATGAGCCCCTACTCCTGCCCCGAGGACGAGCCGGTGTCACAGCACCCGTTCCGCATCGAGGACGAGATCGATGACATCCTGCTGATGGAGGCCAACCAGAGCCAGATGTCCAACTGGGACAGGTACCGGGGCTGGGCTGGGCTGCAGAGCGGGTCCTGCCTGCAGGGCTTTGGGCAGAGCTGGGCTGGTGAGCCCCTTGTAGGAGCACTGGGGGTAGGACGGGGGGACGGACAGAGAGCAGAGATCGCTGCAGCCAGGGCTGGGAAATTGGGGTTTATTGCAAAGGGCCTGGGTGCAGGGCCCTGCTGGGAGCTGCCAGGACAGCTCAGAGCAGGACTGAGAGAAGTAAAGAGAGTGGGAAAGAGGATGAGAGGGAGAGAGGATGAGAGGATAAGAGAGCAAGGTTCCCATTACAATACAATAAATCGTCTTCTGTGCTGAATATTCTGATTCTCACTAACCAATCTAGTACAAGATACAAATCCTACAGCATTTACATACAGCTTATAGGAATCATTACATTACCATACTGTGTTACATTTTAAACCCAAAAACTCCTCTTTGGACCCTTCTGCCAAGCTGTAGGGTCTGCTCTGGCCCTTGATCTGTCTGCAAGCAGAGGGTGTTGTTCCATCAAAAGGGGATCACCTTCAGCTGGCCACACCATTGTTTTCCAGTTGTTCAGTAACTGAGGGATCTCAAAGCTTGCTTTCATTTCAATCTCACTTACAGTTTCCATATTCTCAAAACCTTTTGCCAAGCAATCATATCTATAAGGCTTTCCTGTTTCATCTTGCCCAACACCTCTGATGTGGCTGGTTCCACCACGCCTGTTCAGGCCCCTGAAAGATGCCTGCTTTTCCCTCTTTGTGCCATGCTGTAATTCCAGCCCAAGCTGAAGCCTCCCAGAGGCTCCTCCTGGATTCCACAGGGACCAGAATCTGGGCCTGCACATGCCTGTACATCTCTGAGTACCTTTCTGCTCTTGGTTTTCAGCCTAGGTTGTCTTCATGTGGGTCTAAGTGGCTCTGCAGCCCCTCCCTCTGCCCTCTGTCCCTGTGGAACAGGTACAAAATAATGTAATTCTTGTACCTTTTGAGCACAGGGCCTGATTTGGAGTGCTATATTCACCACTTTTCAAGGTGCATCACCCCAGAGGCCACAGACCTGGGGGCCTTGTAAAAAACCCTGAGTTGAGCTGACGTTTAAATGGTTTGCTGGAAGCTGTACTGGAAATTTTGGACAGCTCAAAGCCTTGGGCTGAGGTTTCTCACATTGCAGGTGATTACCCCAGTCACTGGGCCAGTCCCAGCGCTGGGGCAGGCAGGACAAAGCAAGCAGATGAGAATTAAGCAGGCTCAGTTTTCTGTACAGCTCCTTCTGGCTGTGGGGGATGAACCGGCTGAGGATGCTCTAGCATTGTTCCCCTCTGCAGAGCAGTGAAATCTCCTTGCCTTCCTGATCCACTGGGTTCCACCAGCACTGAAAAAATCACCCGAAGGCATCCCTCCCTCCCCTCGCCTTCACTGCCTGTGCCTGAGTGAGCAGATGTGGGAGACAGCCCTGGCAAGGTCATCAAAGTGGGGTCTGGGGGCTCAGCCAGGCTGGGAGAAGGCTGGAAGCAGGACACCTGCCCTCAGTGCATCCCCACACCTTGGGAAGGATGGAAGGTTGACAAGGAAGTCTCACAGATTTGTGCGCTTAGCAGAAAGGTTTTGAAATCTAGAGTGTAAAGAAGGAATAGAGATGAGAGCGAGTTTTGATATAGAAGAAAAGAATTGCTGAGCCAGTCTCACTGGATAACCAAGGAGGCAAAGGGTGTGTTGGTTAGAAGGGGTTTTTATGGCTTAGAGCAAAGGATAAACCCACCCCAAACAAGAAGATGTTTTTACCAAGCAGAAAGATAGCACAGGTAAACAAGGCAGCAAAGGTGGCAAGTAGAAAAAAGGTCTCAGAATTTTCCACTGCAAGAAAACTGAAAAACAACTTCTAGCTTAAACTGTGATGTACTGACTGTTAGTGATTGGAGAACAGTGACATGAATATGGTAATTACAGCAGTTATGATAGGCTATAGATAAATGTTTAGGTATAGATTGGTGCTACTGTATTGAGATGCTCAGCAAAGTATAGAATGCAATGTAACCAAAATAAAAGTATAGAATGCAATGTAACCAAACCCAAAGGGTCTCCAGGCCTGCCTGCAGCTGGAGCTGACAGCTGTGGGCACAGCTCTGTCACCCATGACCCCGGGGACAGCAGGTGACCCTTTGGCCGCGTGCTGTGGGACACCTGAAGGGCGGCTGGTCGCTGTGGCAGGGCCCCAGTCGCTGGGATAACACATTCCACAGGCAGCTCAGTGAGGAGCCAGTGAATCAGGGGTCACTGGGAGAGCCCTGGGTGCTGTCAGGGGCTTCAGCTGGCTGGAGAAGCTGTCACTGAGCAAGGCAACCCTCCAGGAATGCCCTGGGTCCTTGACATCGGAACAAACTGGTGATGGCCAGCCTCAGTGGGGTTGTTCACAGAATTTACAGAATTCACAGAATTCACAGAATTCACAGAATAACCAGGCTGGAAGAGACCTTCAAGACCATTGAGTCCAACCCAGCCCCAACCCCTCAACTGAACCCTGGCACCCAGTGCCACATCCAGGCTTTGTTAAACACACCCAGGCATGGGGACTCCACCACCTCCCTGGGCAGCCATTCCAGAACTTTATCACCCTTTCCATGAAAAGCTTTTTCCCAATATCCACCCATATTTCCCTCGGCACAGCTTGAGACCATGACCTCTGGTTCTGTCAGTTTTAAGTTCATGTCTTTAACTGTTCTGTCACCAAACAGGAAGGGCCCAGCCAAGGTCCCTGTCTGTGTGCTGAGGGGCAGATTGGTAATTATTGCTGTTAATCAAGCTTTAGTCCCGAATGGAGGGGAGGTGATCAACATCTAAAGGAAGGGGCCACTTGGTTTGGTTGCTGGGCTCTCATTCCTGCATCTCAGGCAGTTGAAAAATAAAAATTATTGGCCACCTGTCATTCCAAGGCAGAAGAAGGCTCTCTGTGCTGCCAGTAGGAGGTTACCTCAGCAAGCAGAAGGCCAGGCCAGCAGCAGCAGTGCTCGGGGTGGCTCGGGCGCTGCTGCTGGCAGCGAGGCCGTGCTGCCTGTGCCTCACAGCAGCGTGTCTTTGGCAGGTACCACATCAGCCTCTCCTCCGACCTGGACTGGAGGCACGACAAGCACCACGACATGGACGAGGTGCAGCGGGACCCCCGGGCGGGCTCGGAGCCCGCGGCGGAGGAGGCGCAGGTGGACCCGCGGAAATACTCGCAGAGCAGCTCGGAGCGCTTCCTGGAGCTCTCCCACTCCTCCATGGACCGAGTGTTTGATGCCGACTGCGGGAAATCGTGTGATTACAAGGTGGGATCACCCTCCTACTTGGACAAGCTGCTGTGGAGGGACAGCAAGCCCCACCACTACTCAGAGCCCAAGCTCATCCTGGATTTATCCCACTGGAAAAGGGCAACCATAGCGCCCGCAGCTGAGCTGTCGCTGGAAGAGGAGCCATCCAACCTGTTCCTGGAGATTGCCCAGTGGGTGAAGAGCACGCAGGTGGGGCTGGAGTGCCCCGGCTCTCTGCCAGAGATGCAGGAGAGGAGCCTGCCCTCCTCTCCTCACCGCCTCCACAAGGAACCCGCCGCGGTCAGCGGCGAGACCGACCCCGAGTTCGACCTCGACGTCTTCATCTCCAGGGCGCTGAAACTTTGCACAAAGCCCGAGGACCTTCCGGACAACAAGCTCAACGAGATCAACGGGGCCTGCATCTCGGAGCACCCCGGGGAGATGGTGCAGGCAGAGGTGTTCCAGAAGGAGCGGTGGTGAGGGCCCCAGCCCCGCTGCGCCTGCCTCCGCTGGGCGTCCCCTTCCCACGCTGTACCAAACGCCTTTTCCAGAAAGGCAAGCACAACCCACACGCCCCCCTTGATGCCTTAGAAGTGCTTCTAAGGGGATTGAGAGGTGCGAATGAAATACTCGAGTTCCTTACACTGCCTTAACAATCTTGCCTTGCGATCTCTGGGACCTGTTTGAAACTTAAATGTACGAGGGGGAAAACGACAGTACATGGTAGGTTTGCAAACAGTAGTCAAATAGACTTCTTTTCCTCTCTTTTTCTATAGCAACTTGAAAGGACAAGGACAAAAATTAACATTTTCAGTGTGGTCAGACACCCTCCAGGTTGGACAGGTTCCCAAAACGCCGAACTTTGAGCCCCTCTGAGGCACCTGTGTGAGTACAGGTATGGAATAAAGTGATGCCAGCCATCAGTCAGCACAGAACGGGACTACAGGTAGAGTTTGGCCATCAGACAAAAAAATAAAACTCTCTGAGAATGTTAATGGGGAAGAAATATGACCTACAAAGGATGGGCCTTTGGGGATTTGTTTTATTTTTTCTGAGGAGAAGACAAAATTTTTGCTAAGTGCATTTTGCTGGTTTGTGGTTTCTCACACCAAAACCTCCCCTTTGGCTGCACGGGGTGCAGCAGGGGATGCACGGGGATCCGAGCTTTCCGAGCACTCGGGAGGGCCCACGGGACGCCCCCGGGTGCTGCTGCTGCGAGTCCTGCCTCGGAGAGCTGCCACGAGACCAGCAGAATTCCAGCAGGGAGGGCTGGGAGCAGCGTGTCCCACGGAGTGACGCGGCCCGGCACCAGCAGCCACCCGGACCAGCAAGGGCTCCCAGCCACTCTGCTGCTGCAAAAGGAATCACCGTACCACTGGCTTTCCTCCTGACAAGGATCTCGTGAGGAAAACAACAGTTCCTGTGGCATGAGATTCGTGACTGCCCACTTGGCTCCCAGCTCCTGTGGGAGAGGCTGGTGTCAGCAGGCAACTGTGTGTACATAGATGAAGACACAACTGATCTACTGTACCTTCTGTTTTCATCCACACTTCTGAGCACCTTAATAATTAATCAGCTAACAAGAGTTTGTATATGGAAGAAATGTTCTATACTTATATTTAACCCAACTCGGCAGCTTTTTAAATGGAGATGTGTAAATAGTGCCACACAAGACAGCCTCTGCTTTCCTCAGTATCCTGCTGCTGTGCTGCCCGGATTTGTACAACAGAAACTGCTCTATTTAGTACTGCAAGTAGTTAACATATTTAACTACTCCCATTTTCATTATTTCTACCCTTTTAACAAGCAATCCGCTAAATGCTCTGAGATGTGAAGAAACTGGTGTGGGGCTCAGATAACTAACAGCAGTGTTTACTGTATTAGCCCTGGGTTCTGTCCTTGCTGGGACCAGGAGCAGATTTAGCTGCAGCAGGCCTTGACAAGCCCAAAAACGTGTTCCTACTGTGAAGATCTCACACTGGGGCGATGGAAACGCCACTGCTCCAGCCAGTCAGCAGCACTGGTGTGAAGGCAGCCAGCTGCCAGGATGGGATGGGTTGCCAGCCCGGGCGCAGGGGTGGGGAAGGCATTTGGAAGGCGAAGCTGATGGAGAAGGGCTCAGAAAGGCAAAGCCATTCGTCTCTGGTCTTTGCTTTGAGCGTTTCGATGTCCCCCAGAGTGGCTTAGAAAGGGGAAATAGGACAGAGACAGAGGTTTGGTTTCTGGTGTGTTGCAGATGATTGATATACCTCAACTAAAGCTCAGCACTTTCACTGCTGGTGGGGGACATTCCAGTGCCAGGAGCAGCCGCCCCCGTGCTGGAGCAGATCCAACCAGCCCGGCAGCCCACGGCTGGCTGAGCACAGCTGGCTCACCACGGTCCTGCTGCCCATGATCCCACTGCCCATGGTCCCGTTCCCCGAATCCCACTGCCCATGGTCCCACTGCTCGTATCCCACTGCCCATGGTCCCACTGCTCATATCCCACTGCCCATGGTCCCACTGCTCGTATCCCACTGCCCCACAGCTGGCTGACCATGGTCCCACTGCCCACAGTCCTGCTCCCCACGTCCCATTGTCCACAGTCCTGCTCCCCACAGTCCCACTGCCCACAGTCCTGCTCCCCATGTCCCATTGTCCACAGTCCCACTGCCCACAATCCCACTGCCCACAGTCCCATTCCCCACAGTCCCACTGCCTGTATCCCTCTGCCCTACAGCTGGCTGACCATGGTCCCACTGCCCACAGTCCTGCTCCCCATGTCCCACTGCCCACAGTCCCACTGCCCACAGTCCTGCTCCCCATGTCCCACTGCCCACAGTCCCACTGCCCACAGTCCTGCTCCCCATGTCCCACTGCCCACAGTCCCACTGCCCACAGTCCTGCTCCCCATGTCCCACTGCCCACAGTCCCACTGCCCACGGTCCCATTCCCCACAGTCCCACTGCCCACAGTCCCACTGCCCACGATCCCACTGCCCACAGTCCCATTCCCCACAGTCCCACTGCTCACAGTCCCATTCCCCACAGTCCCAACTGCCCATGGTCCCATTCCCCATAGTCCTGCTCCCCACAGTCCCATGGTCCCACTGCCCACGGTCCCACTGCCCGTATCCCTCTGCCCACGGTGCCGCTGGGCCCTGTGGCACCTCACTGGCAGCGGCCAGCAGGGTTTGGAGCTGGCCTGCAGGGCTCTGAGGTGTGCTGGGCTCAGTGCCGGAGCGGGCTCAGCTGTGTCCCGGGGCTCTGGCTGGAGCCCATCCCGGTGGCAGAGGCACGGAGCTGCAGCAGGGCAGCCAGCTGGGGCCAGCAGAGCCAGGGCTGCAGGAGGAGAGCAGCTCGGTGACCCTGGAAACTCCTCTGGAGATGGAGCAGCCCGTGCTGCCATGGCTCCTCTGAACGCAAGAACTCGGCCCGTACAAACCACGCTCTCCCGGCCGGGCAGCGGTGGCCACGTCCCCTGAAACCAGAAGCCATTTCCCATGGGCTGTCACTTCTTCTCCAGAGGCCTGCAGGACTATTTAATGTGGCCATGAAAGAAACAGTTTTGCTTTTGAGTATTGTCTTATGGGCCCACAATTAAGGTGTAAAGCAGACTCGGTAGCAAGCAAACAGAGCGTGTTGCCACCACTCTGGATTTTCCATCTCGCTTTGTGAGCTCTTATTTAATGTTGTTCTAAAACCTCAGCATCACATGCTGGGAAAAGGGGATAAGAGGGATGGCTTTAATTTGTTACCTGAGTGTGCTTAGCTGATCACAAGCCAGATCTGTCTCTCATTTGCAGAAATAAAATGTAAGGCCTGAGCCTTCCACGCGTGGCGGTGTGTAATTATTTTATTAACTATTATTTTTATTCTGAAGTGTTCACTCCAATACTGGAGTAAAAATCCACAGAATTCTGCATATTACTCAGGTTGGAAAAGTGGGTGACCATGCGTAAGAGTGACCACGAAGACCTGCATCACAGGAATATTTGCATTCTTGGTGTTGGGCTGCTTCTCACCCAGCTTTGTTTTGGCAGGTTCAGGCCGTGTGAGCACTCAGGGTTGCAGGGAGGGAATTTAGGCTTGGTCATCATCTGCATCTCATGCAATTTGAAGAAGCATTTCTTGATGGGTGCAAGATCACCCACCGGGTGTTTCAGTAAATTTGCAGAGAGCAATCATTGAAAGAGACAGAGCACTGCTGTTGCTGGTGACACCGTGGAGCCCACGTGGCCCTGGATGGGCGATACCCAGGACTCAGAGATGTGGGCCCCAGCTGTTACAGGATTAAATTAAAGAGCAACAGGAGGAGCAGAAAATCCCCCCCTGAAACTGCAGGAGCTGCCCCTGGTGGCTCCTCACCAGGATCTGCCCTTCCACCCACTGGCCAGGGCTGGAGCCTGGGAACCCGTCAGGAGGGTGATTTAAAAACCCCCTTAAGCGTCAGAGAGATGCCTCCAACGGCTCTGCTGCTGCCCCAGTGATTGCTCTTCCTCAGTCACAAATCTCTGACTATTTTTGCTGCAGTTTATTTTTAATCGTGCTGGGACTCAGCAGCTGTTACACCGTCGCGGAGCTGCACTAACCAGGCCTTCAGAGCTTCACCACGGCGGTAACAAAAATACCCACTTCAGCTGCCTTTTAAAAGGGCTTTGGGGACATCCAGGGAGCTTTGTCCTGTGCAAATCCCCCCCAGATCCCAGAGCAAAACCACAACATAGTGTCAGTGCATTTTACAAGTGGGCTTTTTGGAGACTGGACTGCAAATGATCAATTCTGTCCCGTGGAGCAATTTCATGCCACCATCTACAGTTTTTGAGGGCTTGCAGTGAGAACACTGTACAGTGTGGCATGCAGACACTTCAGCTCTGAAATGTTCTTTTTTTTTCAGCTGGTTCTAAGAGGAAGAGAACAAATACACCATATGGTGCTTGCTTGTGAATTGTTGCCTTTGACATTTTGAAAGGCAGAGTTTGATTCTGTACAATATTTGGGTGAATGGAGTCCTCTCAAAGAGCATCTTCACTTTCTGAAGCTGTGCTCATCCCAGTATTTTAAACTGCCATCCAGGCACTGGGGAAGCTGGCTTATAACAATCATATTGCTAAATTCAGAGTAGGTTTTTATTTGTTGAAATAAAAAAGATTCTGTCTTAAAAAAAACAACCCTTTCACCCACGGTCTTGCCCTGCCTGCTCTGTGTCCCACAGCCTCTGGTCTTAGGTTGTGGTGGAATAAAGTGTAACAAAAGGATCTCTGAATGGTTGCTTTCATTAACGTTGCAGTGAAAATTAGGTGCTTTAGGACGTTTATATGAATTTTCATGAAGCTTTGGAGAGAATATACCCCAGGCCATCTTTGACAGCCATCTTTGAGAATATACCCAAGGCCATCTGTGCTATCAAAGATGGCCTGGGGTATATTCTCCTCAAAGCTTCATAAAGATTCCTGTTGACATACACAGGAATTACTCTGAAAATCATAATTAATTTTATTA